GAAGCATTTTAAGTAAGGGTAAGGATCATCCACATGGGCGGCAGGCAGACAGCCGCACTTTGTATCCGATCCCCTAGGAACAGGCACCTGTATTGTTTACATAGAGCTTCATTGTTTCAAAAGCAGATATTCCCCCTTAGTATTTGGTTCCCACGACTGAGTCACAAGCAGGGCTGTGTGGCGGTTTGGTTTCAGGTACTACACTGAAGCACGTGGTCTTTAGTGCAAAATCAGGAGGTGAAAAATACAGACTGCACGTTCCTGCTGCTGTAGGGTACCAGAGGCAGCTGAGGGGGAAAAAATTCTGGGGCTGAGCAGAGGAGCAGTAGAAGTGTGTTGGGGACAACACTCTGACGAGTTATTGGCTTCTCAGCAGTTCTGCCTGGGCGAGGGCGCTCAGCTTGGGCCGTAGGTCACGGCGTTCCGTCGGATACCCAGCAAGTCTGACATCTTCACCCTGACTGGTGTTGTTTTGGTAGACAAACTGCATCCCTTTTATCGGCCGTGATAAGGGTGTTCTGGATGTAAAATGGGATGGTTTGTGGTCCGGATGGCAAGCTCTAGCGTACAGGCATTGTCGTGTCCTCGCACACGGTGCTGCTAGTGCCTGCAGTGATTTGGCTGTTGGAAGGCAAACCGCCAGGTTGCTCCTGGTGATGAGCCTTCTGGCTGCATCCCCTCATGGACTTTGGTCCGGAGGCCTTCAGGGTGCTAACTGCTTTTTGGTTTGGGGTTTTTTTTAATCAGATAAATTCATTTGTCCTTCTCAGTGGAAAATAAAGATTAGAAGATAGCCTGTGTCCACTCTGGAAGTACTGAAAGCTTGGGCAAACTGAAAGCTCCACAAAAGCCACACAGCTGGCTGAAGAGACAGAAAAAGGATAAAAAGTGTCATGCGCAGAGATTTAGAAAAAGTGAAGCAATGTCTGTGATGCAACATCTCAAATATCTTTACCTAATTATAGTTGCCTCCCTTTATTGCTTTTTTAAAAGATAATATTGTGTGTATTGTCTTTAACAATTCTCTTTAACTCCTGGTGAGGCAGGAGGCACAAATGGAAATGTTGTTCTGCATTTAATTGATTTTTAGATAATTGGTAGTTTGAACTAACCATGGAAGAGCAGCAGATACATTGGTAGTTTGAACTAACCATGGAAGAGCAGCAGAACCGAGAGCAGCAGGGTGGAGGTGGCAGTTTTGCCTTTTAAATAGGAGGATAATGAAACCTGTAGGTTTGTTTGTTAGGTAAATAAAGTTGGATGGTCTTCAAAACACTTCTTGAATCCTGTTGCATGTATCCATCTCTGCATTAGTGTGACCCAAGCTTGTGCTGTGTTGCCTCCTGCCCAGGGAGACAGCAGGCATGACTCAGGATCGTTGCCCACTTTGCTGCTTCCCCCTCTGGGTGAGCCAAGTGCCTGCTGCCTCCGGGCTGAGACCTCCAGCCCAGCAGGAGAGGCTGGAGCACCATGGCAAGTGTGGGTGCAATCTGAGTGTGAAAATAGCT